TCTGACTTCAAACTACCATAACCCCACTGGATGCCATATTCTACCACTTCCACAGTAATCATCCTACCTTTTCACTGCCTTTGTGTCAGTCTCTTTTACGACTCTAAACCACTCTCCTGTTCCCCATCCCTCGACTTTCTGTTACTTTGATGTTCCTCCCCCCTGTGAAGCCCGAAGTCAGATAAAGGGCTAATGATAACTATCTAAACGCCTGCCATTTGAAATAAATAAATATTTAGCGATAAAGGTTCAGTCATTAGTGCAATTCGTATCAGTGTACCTTTCGCTTGCTCAACGTAAAATGTTTAACGTGTTCACGAGACTACCAAAAAGTCAAATGAAATCGAATAAGCTTCTAACCTCAAAAGTGAACATGTCTTTCTACAATATACTGAAACAGATTTAAGAGCGAGAATTGAAAGAAGGGGTGTCAATTCCTCTTCTGACTCCTCATGTCATGTCAACTTTGAAATATTCTTATGTTGTTATGTGTGAGATCATCCCTAAAATCCGAAGTACTTCATGGTGTTCCCAGTTAACAATGAGACCAAATACTTCCCTACTGACTTCCTTCCATCTCATTGAAACACAACAAAGTACCCTACGGCATTCAGGAGACATAGTGAATTCAGCCAAGCTATGGAAACGGAGGTTTTAAGAATATGGTGGAGCAGTCATCTGCACTGTCAAATTACTTTTATGGCAAAATAATTCAAGTTCGTTTGATCATTCAAATGAGTAGAAACTTACTTTACATAAGTCACTCTTATCTCATGCAACATTCCTTCTAAATAATAAATAGCACGAATGTCATAAGTGAAAGCACCTCCGAACACTACGGAATAGCAAAACGGAGACTGAACGATAATAAACTCGAATTCTATCTTTCCTTTATCTCACTAGACTCAATCCATTGACTTGGTATGCACCGATATGTATTGAGTCATGATAACTAACTTGGCAGATAAACTCATCTACTACTGATTTGCTCAAGGTAAACTCTGTTCCAGTAGAATTACAATTTATTTAAATCTAGAAGATTCGACGCACTTTAAAGCGCCTATTAGGTGATATGATGGAAAATAGGGTAATAGCAGTTGACCATGTTAACAAAAATTGTTACTGGTCCAGAGGTTTCTCTCACTTATTTAAAAAATGCTCAAAGTACCCCCCCCCAGTTTCCGGTATTTTAGAGTAGATATTATTTTCATTTGTAAAGTAGAAATCCCATTCTTCTACCACAAATCAATGAAGAAATTCACGAGACTATTGCAAATAATTAAAGTTTGTCTAGGTTTTAATAGAGCAGTCTCTATAATGAAGAAAGTCCTACATATTCTTTTGGAAAGTCATCGAAGATGTCAAATTTCCACTTGTTTAAAGACTTATACATGTTAATGGCGTTTGTTGCTCACCATATCGGAAAGTCATTCACAATACTAACATCAGGATCAGTTCCACAATATTCTAATAAACTAATAAGACCGTAAAAAGTAATGACAAATTTTTCAAAACTGTAAATTAATGAAATAAATTCCATCATCAAAATTTTTAATATTCCACCTTACGAGTTTACGTCACTTTACGTCCAAATTTGAATGATATACCAACTTTATAAATAAGCTGACAAGATAAGCATAGCTAAATTTTCAGAAATGAAAGATTTAAAGCAAAAAATTAATTATTTGGTTCCTAAATAAAATTTGCCAGTGGTTGAATAAATAATCATTTATTAAGTACTGTGTCACATTCAATTAGGCGTAATTACTTCGGCTTCGTAGCATTTTAACAATTTTATAAAAGTTGATAGGATCACATCACATGTTACCTAAATCGGCGTCTAAAGTATGAGAAAATTCACACATTAACTCAGTATAAACACAGTCCAATGTCCATAGCACTGGCCTTTTGTTTATACTCCGAACCAATCGAATATCAAATTCCCGACTTCTCTGAGGGTATAAAATGAACGATACGGTAAGCATTAGTTTATATTTCTGAAGATGTCGGTAAGTTAATGTCTCGGATAGTGAAAGTGGAATCGGAATTCCATCTATCAATAGTTAAAATGCTTTCCGATTTGCATTTCAGATGCTCAAAATATTTCTCCTGTTCGGCCTTGTGGGCGTAATCTTTGCCAGGCATATTGGTAAGAGAGTAAACACACTCACTTAAATGTCCGACTTTTGTTACTTTTTTTCAGAATTTTAATGTAATAAATTGAAATTGAAAATAAGGCAATAAAAATGACTTATAAATAAAGGAAAACTAAACTTTAAACAAATAAAGTTAAATTTAATTAATCGTCAAAATAATAAAAAAATATATATATTCACAAATTATTTATTCAAGTGCCATCACTTACAACACTCCCAACTCTATTTCATGGTTTTAAATTACGTAACTTTTAAATTGAAGGCCACCACGAAGGTCATGAACACAACGACGATCATCACCATGAAGAAGACGAAGATGATCTGGACGAAACATACCTGATCCCGGCAAGAACTAATTATGGAGGTCGTCGTACTGTTATATGGACTGGACCGAGTAGCTACAGTGGTTACAGAAGCTATCAAAAAACACCGACACAGACACAACAAAGGTCCACTTACCCTCGACAGACTAACTACTACCCACGCCAAAGCCCATACGTTTCACGCGAAACATACTATCCACAAAGTAGATCGCAAGCAAGACCCATAAAAGCTCCACTGTACAATAAACAAAGAGCTGGTGATGAGAAATATAAACAGGGACTTCGTGAATTAGCTGACCTGATGGTTTAATTGCACCTCAGCGCCTGATATAATTTCGATTGGGAAAATGAATTTATTTCAATATATTTTAATTATAACGGGTTTTTTCATTAGATTTTTATATTGAGGTGCTGTCGATTTAAAATGACGTCTTTAAAATTAACGCATTTTTTATTCCTTACGACCATTTCTTTTGTTTCCGTGAATGTTTCATTAAGCATTACTAATTTTCTATTGAAGTCATATTAGTAAATTATGGTACTGTGATGCTTCATTTCAATCCATTAATAATAGCACAATCTCGGGACAATAAAAATAATAGTTTAATCAGTAAAGAGAAATTTAAAAATATTGAAAAATTTGATGGCTAAATATACTAAATTATCTAAAAAATACTAAACGATTTGGAAGAATTCAGATTTAATCAATGCAGCTTCCTGAGCATCATATTTCAAAAATAACCACTTAAATAATGTCACTCTATTTAAACAACTATATTTAATATTTATAATTTTCTCCTAATTTGATAATTGATTTGTTCTTTGCTTGGAATGGGCATAGCTTATATTTATTAATAATGAAGACTTGTCATTCTTTTCGATTTTCATATACCTTTTCAGCAAATCTTCAATAGTATTTAACTTGAAAAATTTCAAGAATTCCAAATCTTTCCACGTACATTCATTCTTTCATTTGATATATTAATTCGCAAGATCGGTAGATGCATTAATTATCTAAGATATTAATTGATTCATTCATTTTTCATTACTGGGTTTGTATTTTGAATAGCTTGGATTATTAGATTTTTTCTTCAAAGCGCTATTCAACGAATGTCACTAAAACTTTAAGGTAGAATAGACAAATGCTGTTTAAAAACGTGATTCTAAATACTAGGACCATAAGATTTGGGAAGATCCTTTAAGAAAGCTCATTTAGCGGCTAATATATCATTAAATTTCGTTTAAGTAAGAAAAATATACCTGCATTTACTCATAGAGATTCTAATGAATTAAATACTAGGGAAATGTGATATTCAGACAATGTAGTCACCCACAAGTGAAAAATTTACTCAAAAGAAATAAAGGCATTATTAGCCCATGGTGACAATGGCAATTTCCTAATGAAAGTGCTAGGGGATTAAAGCCAGACGAAAATAGGTATAAAGTTGTTCCAATGATTAGAAAGCTGATATGGGAGTGCTTTGAGAAATATTTAAAAAACAAGTATCTGCAAAAACTAATTGGAGAAGTCATGTTGATTTCCTGCTTATTTATGTGTTATTGACCTACTCAACGAAGGTAGTATCAATAATTTCTCGGATGGACTGAAGTTTCCTAATTAGCAAATAGAAAAACAGAATGAATCCATGATTAAACTATGACAACTATGAGTGGGTAAATAAAACAGGAAATACTGTAACGCATACTAAAGGGTGAAGAATGCGTACAAATATACTGTACATTTTTTGATTTTGGATAACTGCGTATTTGAAGTAACTATGAAAGCAAACTATGGTAAATAAAAAGGCTCATTGATCAGATATATGTTTCAAATAGCAGGCGTTATGACAGTTATCATTAACCCTTTAGCTGACTTCGGATTTCACAAAGGGGAGGAATATAATAGTGAGAAAAATTCGAGAGGGGGGGGGGAAGAAGAGGGATTCAGGGATGTAAAGGGACAGATGGACACAAATGCAGAGAAAAGGT